TTCCAATATCTTGGGTCGATAATCTAGGAAAATGGAGAGATTGAGGAATATGTAGCACACAAAATTAGAACTATGGCGCCGACCAAGTACAACACCTGTTACGAGGTGCAAGTTAGTTCAAGTGGAAGGACTTAAAAGGGCAAAGGGTAGGCCCAAAAGGACGTGGTTAGCAGTAGTTCGGAAATATATGGGGACTTATGGCCTCACCGAGGGTATGGCCTTTAATAGAGCATAATGAAAGGCCAGGATTCGTGTAACCAAACCCAGTTAATCGGAAAAAGGCTATAATGATGATGATGATGACTTAGTCGTGGCAATTTTTAGTGGTATTGAACATGTTAGTTATTATATGGCATTTAATATGCTTAAGTATTTAACAAGTAATGTTACAGTCATGCAATTGGTTATAGTTATTTGACGGGATGAAAATGATGGTTTAGACTTTAGAGAGGTTTTTTATTAAAAAGCATGGCCTACGCATTGGTAAAGCAATAGCCAAATTTTATGCATGTTTCTTGGAATTGATAAATGCAAAGGAAAGTTGATTCCAAAGTCATCTATAGCATTGGATAGCTGAACTTGAAGGTTGGTCTTCCTTGTTAAAGATGAAGTGCTTTGTTTTTCTCAATCTTTGTTATGTTCATTGGATGGATATCTGTAACTATAATAGCCATTTTTTTGGAGATCATTAATCTTTTTACCATTTACTTGTAAATTACACTCAATTTTTAAGAATAATTTTTTAGCATATAGCACTATGGAAATGTGGAATGGGAAGAAAAATTAAACCATTAAATAAAACTTTTAAGTAATTATTTGTGGATGTTTTTGATATTTTAGATATGCCATTGTAATTGTTTGGAATTTTTGAAATTATTTTGTAATGTCAGTTCAGTATGCAAATTGGCAAGACTTACTTTTCTAAAAATGAGAAGCCATTTTCTTCGTAGTTAGGAATTTACTTATCAAATGACGTTATAATCAGGTTGATAGGTGGTGTTTCCTTTCCTAGCTTTCTACAACTTGCTGAAATGTTTTTCCTAATATTTGTTTATCATATGAATTAAAGATATTTGATCTGAACCGTCTATTTCGCAACTACTGCATTGGATGCGTTATGACCAAAAAAACATATTCAACAAACAGGCAGATTTCCAAATTCCTAGGCTCCAAGGTTAACCAAACAAGAAGAAATTCCACCTTCAGGGAATCCGAACATGTTAACAAACAAGAGTGCCCAGTTTCCAGATCTCTAGCTTTCCAGGGCTCCTATTTTCACAGGGAAACTGCAAGTCATGTTAGAATAGTATCTTGTTGTGGGATCAGACCCATCAGTAGGGTGATCCTGAATGGTATAGAATTTAGAACGACATCCGACAACCATCGCTGTATAGGGAAAAGTGGCACCTCTCTCGCCACAAGAAGTTGAAGGGACAACTGAAGGATAATTCATCTGTGTAGGGGCATCCCCATTGTTCAAATTGGATGCATTTGTGATCTTAAGGGGCAACATGGAAGGGGTAGATGGGGAACCAGCAGTCGAATGTTGTTCAATCCTGCCCATCCACATTGAGATGTGTGCATGTAGAGTGGAAATGGTGCCTGGGTTTACCCCTGCAATGTAGAGGAGAGAGGGGTAAGGGTGTGGTCATCATAAAGGGGCGTATCATGGCTGCATCATAGTCATCCATGTTAGGGAGGCTGTGTAGGGGCCAGATGGGGTGTGGTCGCCTAAGGCGTGTCAGAATGGGGTAGGCTTTTGTGGACAGTGCTCCGGAAGACATGGCATGATGCAATCTTGACCATGCAAGCTGAAGGGACAACTGGAGGATAATTCATCTGTGTGGGGGCATCACCATCGTTCAAATTGGATGCATTTGTGATCTTAAGGGGCTACATGGAAGGGGATGGGGAGCCAGCAGTCGAATGTTGTTCAATCCTGCCCATCCACATTGAGATGTGCATGTGGAGTGGTAATGGTGACTGGGGTTTACCCCTGCAATGTAGAGGAGAAAGGGGGTAAGGGTGTGATCATCATAAAGGGGAGCATCATGGCTGCATCATAGTCGTCCATGTTAGGGAGGATGTGTGGTCGCCTAAGGCGTGTCAGAATGGGGTAGGCTTTTGTGGACAGTGCTCCGGAAGGCATGGCATGATGCAATCTTGACCATGCATGTTGGGAGCCACGTGAATTTAGCGAGGTTGGATTGGGGGAAGGGGGACTAAGGGAACAAGACAAAAAAAAGATCAACACCATTGGATTAAACGGTGGAAAAAGTTAACAATTCAGATGATTGGGGTACATTTGGTTTGAAAAATGGAAGGAAGGGAGCTTTGAATTCAATAATGGTTGGGTGGTTGTTGAGTGTTTTTTTTTTTTTCCTTTTTTTTTTTGATGGATGACTGTAATGAATAGGAGGGTACAATTTGGGGTTTCAGTTTGAATATAAATGGGCATGGAATTTGAAAAATTTGAGCATGTGAGGGAAGATGTTTCTTGGCCAGCATGTGAAGGGTGGTCCATGTGTCAATCAACAGTGTGGTTTGAAGTTTTGACTTTATCATGTCACCAACCTCTTCCCCCCTTTGTTGACTAATGACTACCTGAGATCCCCAGCAATTTCTTGTTCTCTGATGATTTTTTTGATGTCCACAATCTGCAATATCTCGTGGTCATGACTCCGGATCACGAAGATTTTGAAAATCATCCTCTGGAGTTGTATCATGTTGTACACTGACGGTGTTCACAGGAGTTTGTCTCCAACTGATGATCTGTAGAACGATGGATAATGCGATATTGTTAGGGATTTCGGCAAGGGTTTGGTTGTTTCTACAAGAATTTGGACAATGCCTAGAGGTAGAACTCCAACGGAGTTTTAGTGAACCTTGACAAAGCCCCTAGATAGGTTAGTTCCTAATCTCCCTAATGATGACACACAGTGCAAGGGAAATCCAATGGTTTTGATTCATGTCTCTAGGTTTTTGCGGCTCCCATCCAGGATGACCAAGGCTTTAGCTCGGGGACAACACCCTTGAAACTGGCTGCTGGTTCTTTGGGCATCCTTTGCTCTTCACCACAGAGGAAGAACAGGATGACTCCCATTGTGGTTGCTCCGCACATCAGCTATGGAGAGGCCCATATTTCCCTAGCTCAAACGAAGCCCATAAGGGATGGCCTGGGCATGTTGAAAAACCTAAGCAGTAATGCCCTTAAGAGGGGTATTCTTTTGTTGCTGGTGGCGATACCTACTACAATGGTGGGAGCCACCGATGAACATGGGATTTGTTTTTGGGGGCTGAAAGGGGTCAGAATTGAGGCATAGTAGTGATTATGAAAGTGGGTTATTCATTGGAACAACCATGGGATCTAGTTTTGGCACTGCAATTAGGTATTATGGGTGAAGGCATTGGGATTTTGTGATGGGAGACGGTCAGCTACTTGCAATGAGATGGTTGTGGTGAGAAATCTGGGGTTGGGGAGGGCTTGCTTCTGTATAGAGAGGGTTAGACACTTCTAGAGTTTCAGGAGATCGAAGGCCTTGTGTGATCTGCTGTTGTTGAAGGTGCTTTAGATGATTTATGGTGGATGATCTGGTTTTTAGAGAGAGAAGATGTGAGTAGTAATAATAAAGGTTCCACAGGCTTGGGGAAAGAACATTTTCCTTCTTTTTTTTTTTTGATTAGTGTTGACATTTATAGTATACAAGAAGAATTACAGCAGATACAAAACACAGAGAGGACCCTGAGCGTGGGCCTCTCGAAAAACGAAAAACCGGGCTTATAAAAGTGTGGCTTGGTAAATCTGGGAGGGAACATGATTGGGTGGGTTGTCTCGTTATGCTCAAATGGGAAGGTGGCCATCTGTCTCACTGGTCTTGCCACAATTTTTCTCCCTCACCTCTCTCCATCTCATGTCTTTCGTCATTCATCTCTCAAGGTTTTATATATTTATAAATATCTGAAATTAAAAAAAAATTAGGGTGCGGTTTGTATAGAACCGAAGCTGTAAACAATCAAAGCAAAGCGCACCTTCAAACCATGTCACGAAATGTGATTTCAATATTGAAAACCTTTGTGATAGCCTTCAAATAGATTTTCATCTTTAATTATAAAGTTTAAAGCTTCAAAAATAGTGTATATCGAGCAGATCTATGAAAACTTAAAAATCTTGAAAATTGACGGTCCAAAAATGTGTTACACGAAGCACTATTTCCAAACTTGATATCCATTTTTTTCTCATGTCCATACATCTTGATGTCGAGATGATCAATTTGAGGATATTTGGGTATCAAAACAACCTCTTGTAGTGAAATTTTTATGGTGGGCTCTAATTTGATTGTTTAGAGTCCCGGTTCTATATAAACTTTTTTAATAATAAAAGTAGCTTCTCACAGGATACTAGCCCTTTCATAAAGCACAGGAAAGGACCACTACCAAGTATTTCTTATGCATGGTGCATTTTCTGTCTCACTTCTTGAACTAACATCATTGTATCAATCTTCCAGGGAAATAACTGTCCAGAATCTACAAAGACTGTTATTAAAAGGAGTAAATGCATTTGTACATATCATTACAAAGTTACCCAAAAGTCCTTCTTATTGGCAAGTTTATGAACTCTCTTAATAGATCAAATTGAAAAGATCATAAATCCATATTATAAAAAGCAACATGCACCTAAATGTCATAAAAATTTGCAAAGTGGAAACCTGAATATCTAGACAGAAATACTGATTTTTTATTGTGTTCTTTAGGCATGCTAATAAAACAAACTAAAACCAAGCAATTTTAATTTTGATTGCTCCACTAACATGGCTTAACATCACAAAAAAAAGAAAAGAGAACAAACTTTCCAACATCGATCCAGGCATGCTAAACAAATTTTGGGCAAATAAGTTTTTCTAAATCAGAATAGCTATAGTTATCTATCTTATCAGCTAGCAGAAATGCTTTAAAACACACTACTAGAATTTCACTTGATGAAAAAAATGTCCTCCCTTTACCTGATGCTTTGTACACTCCTTGTCTATTTACTTTAACTTGGAGTCCATTTCCATTTGAAAGAACATCAGGCAACAAAGGATAAGTCCACCTTTGAAGTATATCCTTACCGATTGTGTCATAGCTCCTGAAATTATCTACTCTTGCAGCATAACTAGAATGAATTTCATGTGTGAAGATTTTGTAACCCAAAATCTGGACAAGAAAATGAGGAGGTAAATGCCAATCCTCATAAAATCTCAGCAAGTTCTTCATGCTAATATTAAAATTGAGAAAATTAAACAACATTGCTCCAGTTTCAATAGGATGCGCTACACACTAAAAAAGCTTTTAATCTAATGAGTTCAGCTCGAGAAGAAATACTCAACAGACACCAACTGCAAATGGATATAAGGATGTGTTTTCTTTTCAGGAGGTTGAAATTAGTGGTATTCAGGTCATTTATTTCGTAGAGAATTTGGGGAATAGAAAATCTCATTTTATTTTTGCTTATATCTTTAAGAAGTGTTAATTCGAAGGCAAAGTTAATAAGGATTAGGTTACATGGGGTATAAAGTTAGCTATTATGGTTTTCTCCTAGAAGTCACTGTTACAGAGCTTTTCTGAAGGACAGAAAAAGCAGCTTTAATTTTAGTTTTGTCAAGAGACTTTCATTTGGTTGGTTCCTCTGCAAGAGGGGATCTTCTCTTACCCTTTTTGTTTCCGATTTAATATTAATGTCTTTCCTTTTCTTCGTTGCATCATATATTCATAACGTTTATATTACAAGTTTTATTGTAGATTGTACAATCTATTTTTCAAATGTATTCTGAAGTGCATATCCATGAGGGACACAATATTGTGTCAGTAGTAGTATTACATTGGTTCTAGAATATTAGATACATTTCAATAAAAGAAAACAAGTAAGGTGTACCTAAGATAACCAAAAACGGACATAGATAGGCCAAGGGCATGGGAGAATGGGAGAACGGTGATAAAAATCAGCATGTCTTGAAGTCCAGGATGCAGATAAAGATACAAGCATCATATCTTGTACATAGCTAAATATATTTAGTTCCTTGTAGAATACATAAAATGCATCCAACAAATGCATCCAACAAAACTGATCGTATACTTCCTATGGTGTTTCTAAAGAGCAAAAATCAAACCCAACCCATCACTCAGGAGATGAAGCGATGGACAAGACACCCAAGTAGGCCCCTGTATTCACGTCCAAATGGGACATTCTCCATTCCATCACAGAGTTGAACACCATGTGATAGCGGAAGGAAGGCCTACTTACGCAACTGGCCAAGGCTGCGGGTGCAACAGAACTGTTCACACAGAAAGCCCTAATCCTGGTTGCACAGAAGAAAAGACAGAAAAATGCTCCATAGACGTAAGAGGGGATCCGATTACAATCAGGGTTGGTAGTGAACTAGAAGAAAGGAAGAAACTGCCAGAGACTACATTTTGGGAAGATTTTGCACACCCATCACCAATACCTCTAGGTGAGGGGAGGCAACAAGGGCCTAGAAGACCTCAACACCAGTGATTTGCAAAAGAAACAGAACGAGGATACTCTATCGCTCTATCCATACTACACTCAAAGGAGGAAGCTTCACAAACCCTGAAGTGAGAATGTTGGAGATTTGGTAGCTCCTTCCTTACCCTGTCAAGGTCAAACCCAAAGGACCGCAAATCTTGCTGTCTGCCACAAAACATATAGCTTATATCAGAGGGGTGCCTTAAATGCAAGGAAGTAATGAAGTATGAAGTGCTCTGATTCCTCAAAAAATCTTTGAACTGCTCTGTGAATGGCTGAAGCTTGTGGTAGATTTCTCAAGCTAGATTGGAAGAGTACCTCTGGACAAAGCCTTGATTCGTGAGGTGCTAAATTGTGTTGCAGAATAATAAACCAATCTGAAAACAGATCAACCTGATGCTAGATATCATGAAATTCCCCCTATCTGTCAATGTGGAAGAAGAAACCCAAGCAACTGGCAATGGGTTACACTTATCCTTCCCCCCCCCCCCTTTCAACCAAGGCTGGTCTCTTCCTATGGAGAGCTACGGCCTTGGCTACCCTCTAGATAATTTGGAAGGAGAGAAACTCTAGGATCTTTCAAGGCTATCACAGGTCTATCCCATACATCTTGGATAAGCTCTGCAGCCTCATCAAGGTGTCCAATAATATGCACCTCAAGCACTCAAGATCTGAATTCTTCACCAATTGGAAGGATATCATTTGTCACAATCCTACTAGACTGCCTGGATCCTCCTTGTGGTTTCCCCAAGCCAGGGGTCTGTTGACTTCGCCAGCTCTACCCTCGGGTAGCACCAGAACTTGTGGCTTTTGGGGGATTTTCAGGACATCGTTTTCTGGTCCTCACTGCACTGGCTACTCCACCAGAGCAAGCACTCGAGCGTCTTGCCAAAGTGACCTCCAGAGTCTTGCCAAAGCCAGTATCCGATTACTTAGCATGGAAGGTTTTGAAATTTTCATCAATGAGTATGAGTCACTTGAAATAACATTGCACTGGCTATTTTACATGGTCTGACCACACTGAAATGAACCTCATACAAAAGAAAATTCAACTATTTCACAGTCCCAATGGACTGGCAAGCAAAATTTTCAAAAGTGACCTCCAGGCTTGCCAAAAGCCAGTATCCGATCACTTGGCTATCCTAACTATACACAAACATGGTAAGAGGGGCACTGCAGCCCTTTTGGTTCAAGTTGCCGTCGTTACAGGACACGAGCCTGCCTCATACGACCACGCAATGGTTGTCGGCCATGAAGGTTGAGGGATGGGCAGAACATGAAGCCTGCAACAAATTTTGCAACTAGCTTGAGTGAAATAGGGAGTGTTCCGGTAATATCCAGGAAAATTTCAGCCCTACTTGAAAAGTATGGAGAACTTAGATTGGGTAGAAGATTGGGTAGAAGACACAAGGGAATTATCTCCTCAGGAATGAAAGTAGAGATAGAAGCCAAGCCTTATCCAGATGCCTGTCTGAGACCAGTAGAGAAATATTTTTTTGAAAATTGTTAACATAACCGGTAGAGAAATATTGGCATCAAAGATCACAGGTGAAATGGTTAAAGGAAAAAGACCATAGAGTTTTTTGTGCCCAAGCAAACAGCAGAACAGAACTCTAAATGAGGTGTCGTGATCTCAGGAAAGAGCTTTGAAAGTGCAAAGGAACTAAAGAGATCATGATACCGTATTTTCTGAATTCCTTTATTGCAAAGGATAGGCAGCATATATCCATAGACGAACTACCTCTCCTTAAGTTGCGCGATGAGAACCGAAAAAGCTGCAGAAACTTTCGATGATAAAGAGCCAAGAACGGCAGTATTTAGTTTGTGGACAATGCCCCAGGTCCAGACGGATTCCCAATAGCATTCTTACTACAATTTGAGGAATTGATGAAAGATGCATTCTGACGTATTAAGAGAGTTTTAGCAAAAAGGATCAACAAAGCAATGAGTGCTTCGTTTATAGCACTGGTACCAAAGAAGGCTGGCGTGGAGGATATAAGGGCTTACAAGAAATCAGTTTACTTGGCATTGTATATAAGTTTCACGCAAATGTCTTAGCACCTAGACTAGGAAAGGTGCTCCCAGAAGTGATATCCTTATCTCAAGCAGCCTTTGTAAAGGACAGATGGATCTTGGATGGTGCCATGGTTGCTCATGAATGAGAGTCCCGTGAGAGTCATTTGCAATTTAAACCTGAAAGTTGATTGGGAATTCTTTGATGGCATTTGGAGATGCATAAAGGAATTGGATAGGAAGCTGTCTCTCATTTTCCATTTTTTTAACTCCTCATCAATGTGGCACCTAAAGGGGACCTCCCGGCTTCTAGAGGCTCAAGGCGAGGGGACCCCTTATACCCTTTTATGTTCTCAATCCTAGTCAGGGTTTCCAGTTGCATGTTGAATAGAGTTTGTAGGAATGTTGAACAGGATCCAAGCTGAGACTAAAAAGTGTGAGTGTCTGACCATCTTCCACTTATAATATGCGGACAATACCCTCATATCCTATACTGCAATGGTAGCAAAAATGAATATCTTTACCTTTGAGGCAGCATCAAGAATATGGGTGAATATGGGGAAGAATAAGCTATGTCTCAATTGCAAAGAGGGTTGAGTGGATAGAATGCTTGCATTGAATACCTTGAGTTATTACATGTGTCAGTAACTGGAAAAAAACGGGTGGGGGGTTGGGTTTGGGAAGGGACAACAGGGAAACAACACTTTCATTTAGTCAAATGGGATAGAGCATATTAACCAAAATGAAAAATCAGCAACACAAACAGGTTTTGCTGACAAAACATTCACAATGCAGAAGAAAGACCACCTTTGAATGAAAAAACAATCGAAAGTCGAACTTCATAAGTGTAAGGATGCTGGTTGGAAATAGAACAACAGATTCTGGCATGACTTATTAAAGATTGCTATTCAGACAAATATGCTGTGGCAGCAAAACCAGAACTAACAGTGGCAGAAATAAAGGAAACACCTAGGTACAGCACTATTTAAAGTCAAATTTCATAGGTGTAAGGATGTCGGTTGGAAATGGAACAACAGATTCTGGCATGACTTATTAAAGAGTGCTATCCAGACAAATATGCTGTGGCAGCAAAACCAGAACTAACAGCGACAGAAGTAAAGAAAACACCTAGGTAGAGCACTATTTGAACTCCATGTTTCTAGAGGACTTGAAAGGTGAAGAGATTGAAGTATTAAGGAACCTGATGGCAGAGCTATATGAAATCGATGTGACAAAAGTTTTACACAACATATAAAAGCTAAATAGACTGGATGTGACAAAAGTTTTACGCAACATATAAAAGCTAAATGGACTTCTTTCTAGTTAAGGAAGCAGATTGACCATCATATGAAAGCCGTAAGGTTATCCCAAGAGAGAGTCTGCTATGGATGTTTGCATAAAAAGATGCAAGAGGAGTGAAATTAATAGGCGTTCAAGAACTAGGTGGCGGAAATGAAAAGGGAGAACATCAATATTTCAAAAAACCTAGGCAGCCCCTAGGCCAGTGCCCAAAACCTCAGGCGCCTTGAAGTAAAAAATTTTTAGAGATATGGCTGATATGCATATAGGCGCTGTCCAAAGGTACATATACATGATACTTTTGTCAATTTTGCATATTTTTGCACGTATGTATAATCCAAGTTTCCAACTAACTTTT